GGGGATGGTCTTAACATTCTGTTCATACTTTATTCTGTGACTGTTTTGCTTCTATGACATTAACCTTTAATAGAGCTAAATTAAATATACATATCCTGATGAATAATTATGAGAGTGCCAACATTTTCATTTACGATATAATGCTTTCTAGGGATGTAGGAATTTATTGACTAAAGGTCTAGTCATTATTCATTTTATAATACAGATGCTGGTAACTCCAGGGGAGGGGCAGGAGTGATAGTTAATGTAAATTCATGGCTGATTTTAGGCTAGGAAAATCATTCTAATTTGCATATCTGGTAGGCTGTTTAAAATGAACAGTTTGGCTGAAAGTTAACACTGAACATGGTGCGCGTGTATGCTTGTTAGTCTGTGGTGTGGCCATGTTAGCCTCATCAAAAGAGAATAAATACATCCCTTAAAACCAGATTGGCTTGTACTAGTTTATGAATACTGTATAGAGATAAGTTTGGGAATGAGGACTATGACTTAGAAGAAACCGTAGTCTCCCCATGGCGGTCAAGGCGATGACCGGGTGACCGCTGTGCCTGCTGTGTTTGCTCTCTGATTGCCAAGTGTCGATGTGCAACTTTCAAGGATTTTGCTCTGATTCCTTTTAGTTTTTTCTGCATAAACTGGACTTGGACTGGGGAATCCTTCCCGGAGGCATGACTTTTCAAACTGGTTGCAGTGATAAGTGGAGGGCGATTCCAGCCTAGAGTCCTTGCCCTTGCTTTCAAAGCCCTCTGTGTCCCACCTCCCTGTCCCTCACTGGACTCACTCCAAGTTTCATGTCTTGAGCTCCTCCTCCTCTACCACCACCAGTTCCAGTCACTAAGGGAACACCTGCCTTAAGAGAAAGCTCATCAGCTCCTTGTGGAAGGCCAGCAAAGATGGGGCCAAGCTGACCTCCAGTGGGAGGGAATTCCAGAGTCTGGGGGGAGCCACAAAAAAGGCCCTCTCCTGTGTCCCCACCAGATACAGCTGGGAAGGTGGTGGGGCCAAGAGAAAGGCCTCGCTTGAGGATTTTAACACCCAAGCCGGTTCATAATGGGAGACACGGTCTTGGACCCAGGGCATTCAGGGTTTTGTAGGTTAAAACCAGCCCTTGTCTACAATTGCTTTCGAGAACATCCAAGTGGATCTGTATCTCTACTTTAAATCCATTAAAACTGCACAGTTCCTGTGAACTCTTTGGCTCAGTTTCTGCACCCTGTGGAGCTGAAATACACAAAACACACGTTCCCCTTCATTTTCTTCCTCTGTTCTGAATGTGTGGGGCATAAGCCTCTTTGAGCAATTATCTGCCGTCTTGTCCACTGTGTACCTTGATGGCACACTGAAAAGTGAACAAAATTGACAGAAATGAACATTTAATAACTTGATGACAAAGCTTTTGTCCTGTGCCAAAGTCTGCCACTTAATTTATTCACCTTTTTACCATTTTTCAGTAGCATCCTTTCACGAAAAAGAAAAAAAAAGAACAAGGCTACTTACAGCAGAGCATTTAAAAAAGTGATTAGTAGAACAATTGATGACGGTAAAAATAATCCCCATCACAGCAAAAATATTGTGAAAACTCTTATACAGTGGTGCCCCGCATTACGACGATAATCCATTCCAGGAAATTAGCTGTTTAGCAAAATCGTCGTCATGCAAAATCAGTTTCCCCATTGGAATGCATTGAAACCCATTTAATGTGTTCCATTGGGGAAAATACCTCGTTGTCCAGCGAAGATCGCCCATAGGGAAGCCATTTTGCGAAGCGCCGATCAGCTGTAAAAATGGCTGCCCTGTGAAGCATGGGTCCGGAAAAGACAGGGCAGCCATTTTGCGGAGCCAGAAAAATTGTCGTCTTGTTAACAAACGGTTCACAATGCACTGACCTAATCGTCGTTAAGTGAAAATCGCCCATAGGAATGACTGTTTTGCGAATTGCTATAGCGATCACAAAAAGTCATCGTGATGCAGATTCGTCATTCAGCAGGGTCGTCGTCTTGCGAGGTACCACTGTATACAGTAGGTCTTCCCTCTGGAGAATGAATTGCATGGTTACAGCACCCAGAGGTGTTGATGCCTGTTGTTGCCTATCTCAACTGAGATGGAACCAGCATCCAGAGCTGGGTCTCCACAATTACCATAATGGATGGTTGGAAAAGAAAGCTTTCCAGCAGGTAGCTGGATCCCCAATTCTGCAGAACATAGGATGTAACCTCCAGCACTTTTATGTGTGTTCAAGACCAGTCGGTTCTAATGGGATCCATTTCAGTCTGGAGAGTCATTAAGGGCAACTATCCAGGACAGCATAAGAACAAGCTATCAGAATAAAGGAGGGACAAGCCCCCTCGTATTGTAGCTGTGTGAAGTGGTAAAATATTGTACAGAGGGCTGCAGGATTTGTGCTTCTAAGCCTTCAAGGACCTGCAGATTGAAGTGTCCTCACCAGTTTTGGCTCAGAGTCCTTGGATTTGGGTGGAAACTGTGCCCCCGAATGCTGTGCCAAAGCTGAAGGGTATTTGTCAAAGGGTATTGAATCTAAGTATAGGAAGGGTACTATTGCTTCTGCTGCTGCTGCTGCTGCTAAGCAAACACCTTCTTCACTTCCTTAGGCCACCATTCCCAAAATTCATTAATTAACCTTGAACCAGAAGGTCGTCTAGATCAGTGGTTATCAACCTTCGATCCTCCAGATGACTTGGACACAAACACCCCTTCAAGAAGCCCCCGTGAGCTGGGCTTGGTATCAGGAATTTAGACTGTTGGACATCCAAGATATCTCAAGGACCAAAGGTTAAGAACCACTGGTCCAGTCCATTCTTTGGTGCTCCTCTCAATGATTTGGACTACAATCCCTAAAAATCTAGTATCACACTGGCTTGCCCTAATGGACGTTGTTGCCCAAAACATCAGGTTGGGGGGGGGCTGCTATGGAGAAATTCATAGACTGAACCAGAGCTAGCTGCATAGCAGGCCTTCTTGCATACCGTAAGTGGACCTGAGGGGGGGGGAGTACTTTGGGGTCCCATGTGCAGGCCTCTCCTGCTTCTGTGCTGTTCAGGCACCCAGTGGGAAAGCCTTGACTTGAACTCCATCAGTTTGAGTCCAGGTTGGGGCTTTCATCTTGTGCACCATAAAGTCTTTTTCTTTATGTGCATCTTGGATTATCCATGCCTCCAATCCTGGAACAACCCCATCTCCCCCGTGGACTCTAGACTCTGGTTTGAGGTTGAACCCCAGGCTTAAGTCTTCTGTTCCTGTAAGAAACAACAGGGACCCTGGTTGGGGGGGAAAGGTATGCTTCACATCTTCTGGCAGGTGCCTCCACTCTTGGCTCTGTCTTGGCTGCTTCAGAGGATGTGGAATGATGGCAATGTGGCGCATTGTAGCCAACCAAGGCAAGGGTGGTGTGATCCTTCATAGGGGTTGAGCCCTCCCCTATCTGCTGCACTTGCTTCATCTCACTACTCCCCAGTTATGGCCTTAAAAACATGTCTTAAAAAATCTTAACGTGTGATGAATATTTCAATAGTGCTAATAATGAAGAGAAACAACAACAAGCATCGTCTTGAGAACCACAAATGAGAAAGTGATGTAGTTATAAACTATGCATGTGCCATCACGGCCGCAGGAAGCCGCTTCCACCCCGGCCGCCACTGTGCATGACAGCAGCGGCAATGCAGGGAGACTTCTGCACAGAGTAACACAACGCAGCACACCCTGCCTCTCTCTTCTCAACATAACCCAGGGCTGTTCTTCTGTAAACTCTGGCACTGGCCTGACGTGTTGCAAAGTGCCCAGGCTTGTGCTCAGTGCCTTACCAGAGGGACAATGGGCTTATTATGCATTTCCAGAGACTGAGGGTGGTCTTTAAAATTAATGATTGTGGCGTCTGCAAATTAAGCGAGCTCCCTAATATGTACTGTTGTTGATCCTCCGCGATCGGTGTGTTTAACATTCCTCGACGGGAGACTAAATCTCTGTAGCCATTTCACAAGTGATGCTGGCGCCCACCGCTGAAATGTATGCAGCCCTGTTTTATGAGAACCTTTCTGGATTCCTGGATTCTCCTGCTGTGGCTGGCAAGCTGGAGAGCAGCTAAGCCCCTGATCTGTCAAGCACGCTTATCAAGGTGTCCGTGGCAGGTGCATTGCAAAGCAAAAGCTAAGTGTGCCACTCTCTGGACAGTTTACAATTTTAATTATGCAGGCTACACATTGCCACCCCCCTCCAGCAAGCTGGGTACTCAGTTTATGAATCTTGGAAGGATGGAAGGCTGAGTCAACTTTGAGTTGGCTGCCTGAGCCCATCAGGATGGAGCTCAGGTCATGAGCAGAATCTTGACCAGAGTACTGCAATTTAACCACTGCACCACAGTGGTCTTAGTAATGACTTCTGATGCACTAGGTCAGTGCAGGTGATCACCAACTTCCTTGGAGTGGACGACTAGCAGACATCCTTGCAGCTCTCAGGGAAATGCTTGGTTATTGTGCATCTCCCCTCCCCTTCCTTCCTGTGCCTTTTTTTTTCCTTATCCCACACCTCCCCCAAGGAAGGGAAGGTATTGAGATCTTTCACATCTCAACAGCTGATGTGCCTATTAGGAGAGATACTCTGAACCTGGGTGGATCTTCTATTCCTGATGAATAAGGACTGTTGGAGTACTCAAAAGAGTTGTAGGACCTGCTTAAAAGGCATCCAGAAGGACAGAGGGCAATCTGTGACCCTTCCATGTTTGTTTCAAAGTTTTTGACAGTGAAATCTGAAAGCTTCCAGAGAAAAATATCAAAGAGCTTTAGATTTATTGGAAAGAACCCAGAGTGACATTAGTTGGTGCCAGTTTCTTTGTGTGTGCGTACATGTGCACTCACAACAGGGACATGACATCTGTGTGTTTGCTAAGAAATTGCAGTAGGTGTTCATTTGTGCCACCTTTAACTTGTGAAACAGGTCTCTTTTCCGGAAATCAATACCAATTCTGTCTTGGTCTTTATGTTGTTCAGATCCTGTTCCTGCTCTGGATCTGGGGCAGCAGCTCCAGCTGAAAGTCCAGCGCATGCACGATATTGAAACAGAGAACCAGAAACTTAGGGAAACTCTCGAGGAATACAACAAAGAATTTGCAGAAGTAAAAAATCAAGGTAAGACAACAGGTTTGTGGGCTGCTCATGCACACATGGCAGGAATGGATTTCTTCTGTCTTGGTTTTTTTAAAAAGGCTTGGCTCATTTTCAAGGGAATTTAAGCCATAGAAATGCATTGATCTTTTGTGGAGAAGAGCCACCTTCGTAGAACTAAGAGGAAACTACACAGATGCAGGAATAAGGGTGGCCTTGAGTCTCAGCCACAGGGATCACCAGTGGTTAAGATTACAACACAGCAGCTAAGATTCTCACATTTAGATTGCTGTCTCAAGTGGGAGCTGTTTGATGCCTCTCACCTGCCTTGATCAAATTGTTGTTTTCATCCATATTTTATTATTCATCTCATTTGTTCTTCATTCCCCACCCTTCCCATTGTTCAGCCTTTCACTATTCAGGCCAGCTACATGAATCAAAATTATATGTGACTCCGCCCTAGCACTGACTGGCCAGTGCTGGGTAGGCAGGGATTGCTTAGGCATGTGTCAGTTTTTCTCCAGCTTAATATGTGATGCTATCTAGGTACTTGCAGCCTTTGCTGCAGTATCAGTATATCCCTAGGTAAAGGTAAAGGTTCCTCTTGACATTGAGTCCAGTCGTGTCCGATTCTAGGGTGCGGTGCTCATCTCCGTCTCCAAGCCATAGAGCCAGCGTTTGTCCATAGACAGTTTCCGTGGTCACGTGGCCAGTGCGACTAGACATGGAGCGCCATTGCCTTCCCACCGAAGTGGTACCTACTTATTGATGCACATTTTTGTGTGCCTTTGAACGGCTAGGTTGGCAGGAGCTGGGACAAGCGACGGGAGCTCACTCCGTCATGTGGATTCAATCTTACGATGGCTGGTCTTCTGACCTTGCAGCACAGAGGCTTCTGCAGTTTAACCCGCAGCACCACCACGTCCCTGATTATCCCTAGGGCAGAGTGCAAATATTGGACTAATGTAGGTTACTTATTTAAGAGAATAAGCACACTATTAAGAGGTGCCCATTGTACATGGAAATGCCATTATCTTGTTGCTCAGACACGCTCAAGGTTCGTGTGTGTGCGCGTGCACATCTGACAGGCCTTTGGAGTAAGACATGTGAGCAAGGAAGAAGGGGGCTTGCTCAATATGAATCTGTCTCCATTGCTGCATGAACTGGGCTTGCGCTAAAAGCTATAGGCTGGGGAAAAACATACTCAGGTTGAGAGCTGCTCACAGCAAAGGCAGCCAAAAGGTTGTTAATCCTTAGACTTGCAAATGAAGATGGAGAATAAACATGTGGATTTACAGCATTTCTGTATTGCATTGAGAGTGAGTGAGGGGAGAGGCAGGGTCGAAGGGGGCAGTTCCTATCTCCTCTTCCAGTATTTCCATCCAGACCCTGGAAGGGTTTCTTTTTGGTGAGGGCAGGTTTGCTCTTCCCATGAATGGATAGCTCGGTGGTTTAGGTCTCTGGCTGCATAGCCAGAAGTTGCTATTTTGATTCTCCGCTGTGCATCCTTGACAGGGGTTGGGCTGGATGATCTATAGGGTCCCTTCCAGCTCTGCAATTATAAGATTTATTATGTCACCACAAAATGCAATATCTGGAGAGTTTGGGTCATAAGATCTATTCTTTTCTGAGTGCCATCTTAAACCGTAAAATGGAGGACCACCCCAGGCTGCATCCTGGGGACACTTCCACCTACCGGCCTGCCTACATGCAGGAAAAGAAAGAAAAGAGGGGAATTTAACAACATTTAGTGAAAAGTGTTGCTCACTTAGACACCCTGTTGCCCACAAACGCCTCTTTAAAGAGAGAGGTTACCGGCCCCTGCAGAGGAATAGACAAAATGACCAGGAGGGGGGGTGCATCTCTTCTGGACGGGAGCTCCTCTGCAAGGGAAGGTCAGTGTAGAAGAAGTTTTGCCCTGGAAGATTTCCGGGAGCAGGGCTGGAGTCCTGGCCCACTCTCATTCATTCCTATGAAGGCCCTTGCAGAAGACAGCCCTTCCTTAGGAGGGCGAGCTTTCTTCTGGGAGAAGAGGCCTGCAAGGATCCTCCTGAGCTGTATGACCTCACTGTGCTCCAGGTTAAGAGGAGGAGGAGGAGGAGGAGGAGCAATACTGAGGGTGATGGCGATAGTCACGCTGTGCCTGGAAAAGTAAGCTGGCTGTGGAGCCTTGCCTTGGTCTTCAGCTTCGCCTCATGCAAACAGAGTAGCAGAAAGCAAGGGAATTGGCCTGCTTGTGGCTCGTCACGCACTTCAGGATGGCTGAAGAAAAGTGCGTTGGCTGTAAAGGAGAAGATTGATTCCTTGATGATCCGCAAAATAAACAGCGAGAGTAAGCATTGATACACGGTAGTTGGCACAGTCCATCAGGGGCCAGAGAGGGTGCTTGGGCCTCCCTGCTGTTGGCCCCATGCCTTCCAGATTCCCCTCTCACAGTTGAGGAGAGCTTTCAGGTCTGATTTCCCATTCCCGAAACATGGCTGCCATCCCCACCCCGGCATCTGGTTCACGTGTACAGCTTTGTTTCCTCTTCTGCCCTGAGCCCTTGGCTCAACTCTGGCTGCAGGATGCCTGGAGGACAACTCTTCAGTTGATTAAGATAAGCTTTGGGGGTGGGTGAGAAAAGGCCAGAAAATGGTTAATTCCCAAGATTTTAACTTCTTCGGTGGAGAGGACTCTGTTTGGATTGGGTCGCTCAGAGCAGCCCAGGGATATGGCAAGACAGCAGGATGAGAGTAACACACCTGCCTCCCATGGACATGACTCTTATTTCGCAAACTACATTTTATTTCCAGGTAGGGCAGGGGGTGAAACCCTGGAGAACCATGGCTGCCAGGCAGTCCAGACAGCGCTGAGCTAGACGGACCGGTGCTTCGACTTGGCTCTAGGGAGCTGAGTGTTTCTTGTCCTCTGCTCAGCCCTAGAACCTAATTCTGTGCTCTCTGCTAAAGTGTCTCATGGTCGGTGTTCATTCCGCTCCACCGTCAGCTTAGAGAAACCTTAGCTCTGCTTCCCGACAAAGTCCATTGATCCTTCTCAGCCTTAAACATTTAAAGTTCAATTTAGCATTTAGGGAGTAAAAGGTCTCCGAAGAGACTCGTAGCCATTGATTTTGTGTCAGAGTTGAAGAGCTAAAGTTTAAACCATGCTGCTGTTGTTGCTGCTGCTGCGGCTGCACCTACAAGGCAGAAAAGAGCCGGGCTTTCTGCAGCCGGGTGCCCCCGTCTTACCACTCGCCTCCTTTATCCCTGCAGAGGTGACAATTAAAGCACTTAAAGAGAAAATTCGGGAATATGAGCAGACGCTGAAGAACCAAGCAGAGAACATTGCTCTTGAGAAGGAACAGAAATTGCAAAATGACTTTGCTGAGAAAGAAAGGTAAGATCTTTCAAGGGGGGATGAGTGAGTGAGTTTTGTACCATCAAGTCAAAACCCCGACTTACAGAGACTCTCAGGTGGCTTTCAAGGTACTGTAAGTGGTTTGACCAATTTCGCTCCCCCAGCCAGTTTCCATAGCTGAGCGGGGATTCGAACCCTGTTCTCCAGAGTCCTAGTCTGTCACTCTATCCACTACACCTTAAGGAGGTGCAGATGTGCAAACATAAAGGGTAGAGCTAGTGAAATTGGTGGGACTGAAGCTGGTTGTGATGTTACAAAATCTTCATCAGATCTCGTGGGCACAGGCGTAGCCTTGGCAGTTTTAGTTGACTGGCAACTAATTTGCCATCCATCAGCTCTGTGGTCTGAAGATTTTTCTTTTCTTTTCTTGCCTTGTGTTCTTTTTAAAAATGAAAGGTAAAATTAATATAAAATAACACTTGAGGCTGACCATACGAGTGGGGGTGTACGTGCTGAGCACCAGAGAGTCCCGAGTTCACATCTCCCCAGACTAGCCTTAAGGGCAAGTCTTTGTTGTCACCTGTTTTGGTGGTGACAAGAGACCGTTATTGGTAGTGTTGCTCTAATCATAATAATAATAATTGGTAATCATTTATAAACCACACTTCAGCTAAAGTCCCTGGATAAATTTATGCTGAAAGATTAACCAAGCAGTCAAAATTAAAGGAACAGGTAAAGCGCAAAAATCAACACAACAATGAGCAGAACAAAAATCATCAGATTTAAAACACTGAATCTGAAAAAAACAATTTAAAAGAGGATTCTAAGAAACTGCAGATGGGAAGCATTTTGAACTCCATGAGAGAAAATCATGCATTTTTTTAAAAAATCGCTCCACTGGTTGGCATGTCTGAGCAGAGCTTGGAAAAGCTCATTTTCGGGGGGGCTGCAGTTCCCAGATCCCCTTCCCCTCACGGCCACTGAGGAAGTCCAGGGCCGCTGGTGGATTTTGTGTGTGCGGAGGGGTCGCCCCTCCTCTGACCCAGTGGCCTGACTCCTCATCCTGAAATCTAAAGGCAGCCTTGGAGAGCAGGCCATGTGAAAACAAGGGGGTGTAACTTGTGCCTGCTGCTAAAGATGGCGGCTTTTTGGAAGGATGGCAGTCCCCCTTGTTCCTCTCCCGTAACCAGAATGAGTTTTCAAGGCACATTTGGTGTCAGTGTCAGGAATCTGCAGGGGTGCGATCGTCTAAAAAATTACCTCCCATGCTGTACTGTGTGGGCAAACAGAGCCTTTAGATCACCTATTGCAGGGTGTGTAAGGCAGTCTCCTCTCGCTTTTACACAGCCCTTACCCCCTGCTGGCAATTGATTTGTCTCTTGTTTTGGGGCTTTGTCTTCTGGGAAGAGATCATAGCTCTACTGAGTTGCGCTTCATCAGTATAGAGACAAGCCACCTTGCCATATCCTGGATCATGCTGGAGATTTTTGTCCTTTCAGTGTGGTGTGAACAGTTGCCCCTGCAGTGAAAAGCCACACATTGAGAAGCCCTGTTGTGTGTTGTGTTGCAGCCTTTCTGCCTAAGGCATATGTTCTACGTGACTGTGTCCATCATTAAAGCCCCAAATATTACAGGAGATTTTGTCGTGGCATGGTGGGAGTTCTAGCTTCAAGCATCTGGAGGACACCCTTATTCTGAGTGATGCAGTCTTACTTTTGAATGGGATGCAGGAGCCCTGATTTCCTCACACAGGGAAGTCATAACCTGCTTGATAGAAAGGTTCCCTTCCTTCGAAAGAAGAACTCCTTTGAGTCCAACCCTCTGCGTGAAGTTCATTCATTCGAATCTCCCAATTAGGTAGCATAGCAAGTTGGGTATGTTTTAAGCTGGCTTTTGTGTCTTCTAATACCATAAGCTGCCTTGGAACTTTCAGGACAGAGGCAGCATATACATATTTTAAATAAATAAACATTCTTTCTTCTTTATTTTCCAGAATGTTGCAAGAGACGCAGATATCAACGGCCTCGAAACTGGAGGAGGCCGAGCACAAAATGCAGGCATTACAAACAGGTTTGCCGCTTCGCCTTCCTGTGACGGGTACCTGCGTTGCTAACAGAAGGGAGGGGCAGGTGTGCTCCCGGTTTATCCAAGCACCTCCACCAACCTTGGGGTTTCTGAATAGCTCAGCATTTTGCACAGTTACCATATTTTTCCATGTATAAGGCACCCCCATGTATAAGACGCCCCCACTTTTCTAATCCAAAATTAAGAAAAATAAGTGGGGTTTAGCAAGTGTAGGGGGAAAGGGATCAAAGCACTGCAAGATCACTTTGATCCCTGCTTTCCCCTCCTTGTTTTTGTCTCTCCTCAGCTTACTTCCATGTATAAGTCGAGCCTCAATTTTTAGTCTAAATATTTTAGACAAAAGTATAGTCTTATACACAGAAAAATACGGTACTTCAGAGTCTCCACTTATGAAATGATCCTTCTGCAGTTTGAAATAGAGCTAAAGGCCTGGTGTCGAAATGGCCAAAACGGAGTGTTTTTGGTTGCATTTTTGGAGTTGTTCTCCGCAAAACGGTTGTGATCCTCCTTCTGAAATTCTCAAGATGTCAGCAGTTGTAGATAGCAAGGTTTTTAGGACCTTGGAGGCCAAAACCTAAATCTGTCTTCAAAAAATACCAGTCATTTCCTGCTCTGTATGTACGGGAGCCAGGCATATAGAAATGGGCATAAAGTGCCAGTTTGGCGGTTCCCGGCTCTGCCTCCTCTGGCAGGCGCCCACTTAGAGGCCAGTGCTCCCTGACTTCCCTGCCCCATCCCCTCCAGGCTCTGTCTCTGAGTGAGCTCCTGCTGGAGGAGGCAGGTCTGGGAAGCCCTGAACGCCTGTTCGTCTGAAGGATGAACCAGGTGGCAGTTCTGTTGCCCATCTCTAGCCGAATGCCACTAATTGGAGCCGGCCCCGGGAACGCTGGACGCACCAGTGGCCTCTGGTTGCAACATTGAGAGTTTGCATTGTCTTGATAGCCTTTCCCCTTCTTCTTCCTCCTCCTCTTCCTCCTTGTTCCGTCATGCCAGAAGCTTGTTTTGGTCTTGCCCACTTACACTTTACTCTTGCAGCGGCCGCTGGTTGCTTTTCTCCTTTGAAGCCAGTATGGGTCCCCAAATGAACTCGCGGTTCGGCTAAAGTAGCGATTCATGTATAAAGGGAATGGGGCCTGCTTAAGCTTAGCTTGACTGAGCAGTACAGGATCTAGAAGCTTCCCGTTCCTGGAAGCGATGGTGGCCTAGAGAATCGGTGGGGGGGGAGGGCCTTTATGTTTGTGTGCCTCTGTGTTCACTAAAGGAAAGAATTTTGAAAAGCTTTTAAGCATGTTTTTTCCCTACAATGTGATTTTGTTTGGTCAGGGAGATGGCTTAATGCAAGATGACTTTGCAGGCAGAGAACAGTTTATTGTTCGATACAGAGTGGCCTTTAAAAAAAAAAAAGACATGTGGCTGTTACTGTGTCAATAATGCTTCTGTATGTTGCTTTTTTTCTTTTCCACTCCTCAGCTTTGGAAAAGACACGAACGGAGTTATTTGACCTGAAGACAAAATACGATGAAGAAACAACAGCAAAGTAAGACTTCTCGCCCTCTTTTGTTTCTTTGTTTTAGATAAACGATGCAGATGGTTAATACTCTGCTTTCTTCATTGCACTGGGCAACAGAATCATAGACTAGTGAAGTTGGAAGGGGTCCATAAGGCCATCAAGTCCAACCCCCTGCTCAGTGCAGGAATACAAATCAAAGGATATCTGCCATGTCGTTTAAATTTCTCTTGAATGCCTCCAGCTTTGGAGCGCTCAACACCTCTCGAGGTCATGGGGGTTCCACATAACAGAACATAAACATCTAGGAAAAAATAGGGTTGATTCTTGAACATGTTTCATGTGAAGCTGATTCTTAAACCCACAACACCATTTAAGAATTAAATATGTGTAAAATTGTACAACCATGTCCTTTTTTTCTGCTGTAAGTGGCATTACTTCCAGGGCTGCTAGGCTTTTCATGCATGTTGTATAAACACAAAAATCATGTGTGTCTATGTGTGCAGGTAGGGCAGGAGTGGGAATCATGTGGTCTGTGGAGCGAGCCCCCCGCAAGACCATCTTGTACCCCTCTGAACATGTGCTGTTTTCCCCCCCCTGGACAAAAGAATTGTTCCCCTTTTTAAAAAAAGAAATGGAAGTGTTATGTCCCCAGAGGACACATTTCTCTTCTAGAACATGTGGTTTATTTTACAATTGGAGAAGTTAAGGATTGAACTTGGTGAGCCACGGGCCATCTGCTTGTTGAGTGTGTACTTCCTCATGAACAGCAATCCTTCCAAACTTAAATCAGGGTTCTAGATCACAGCAACGCCAAGTCGACCTGCTGGGAAGAGAAAGTGTGCAACTCTTGTAATGCAGATGTTGGCCATTGTACTAAGAGAGAGTGGATATCCTTCTCTGGGGCTACTGACCCCTCTTCTGGTTATTTTGCACAGACTCTTTATCTCTGCTGGGGGCCATATTGCAGGCTCCTGTTCCATGTATTTCCGTCATTAGTTAGATGAGGGTAGTGGTTTATGCCAGGTTGTTTGCACCCTGAAGTTTCAGTGCTCCATCTATCAAGGTGGTCATTCGGAGTGGTTATCTTATGTTAACTGCCCCATGTCCATTGTCTTTATTCACTTATTTATCTTTTGTTTACGTTTTTTCCTTTCACAACTAGCTGACAAAGCATCTAGCAAATATAAAAGAATAGAAAGCACGAAAGAAGCTCTGCAGTGTGGCATAAGCGTTGTTGTGTAGGGACGTCTAGCACTAGAAGCAGGGGGAGAACAGGGTGCAAGGAAGGGTTTCTGGTTTCTGCCCCATTTGCTCCTACCTTGAACTTTCAGCTGAACCAGCGACAGAATGTTCTAGGAGCACCTTAAAAACGAGTGAGTTTTGTTTCCTGTAAACTCTTAGGGGATTGCAGCCCACTTCAGCAGATGATGCTCCTGATGAAGGACTCTACCATCCACGAACGTTTTTGCTGCAAGTGACTGGCACAGCTCTCTCTCTCCACCCTGACAGAACAGCTGAATGGCATCCTTAGGATGTGGGGCCTAATGGTCATCTTTGGCCAGGCTTCCCCTGTGGGCCACCTTTGAGATGTTCAGTTCCTATCTGGGCGGAGAGTGATAGGAGTAGTTGCCCCTTCCAGGTGTAGGCTGTGATGTTGTGGAAGGCTATGGAAGATTATACAGAGGGATCACTATGGGTCTACATGTACCAGCCTTGCTTTGTCAGAAGAGGTGATCCTGAGATGTCATTGTACTGTTTTAGCCTTCATGTATATAACGTGGTAGCGTTGCGGGTTAAACTGCAGAAGCATCTGTGCTGCAAGGTCAGAAGACCAGCCATTGTAAGATCGAATCCATGCGACAGAGTGAGCTCCCGTTGCTCATCCCAGCTCCCGCCAACTTAGCCGTTCGAAAGCATGTAAAAATGTGAGTAGATAAATAGGTACCACCTCGGTGGGAAGGTCACAGCATTCTGTGGCTAGTCGCGCTGGCCACGTGACCACAGAAACTGTCTACAGACAAACACTGGCTCTACAGCTTGGAGACAGGGATGAGCTCCATACCTCAGAGTTGGACACGACTGGACTAACTGTCAAGGGGAACCTTTACCTCTTATATAACAAATCTGCCCCAAAGTGCTTTGGAAGGCATTTTGTGAAAGGAGACTTGTTGCAGACTTCTAAGTGGTACAGGCTGACTTTCTGTAAGAAGGAGAGGTGGAGAAGGCTATTGACTGGCAGCTTCCTCCTGCCCCCTTGTTGTGACTTTTGTTGTTTACATAAAACACTCAGCCTGCTTGCTTCTCTTATTGTGGATCTGCCTGGGGTTAAGTGGTGGAAGACTTCTCCTGGGCTCATTCTAGGAAGTGTGGGCCAAGTAGCAATTCTTGCATGAATCGCGATGGGTCTGTTAATTCCTCATGGATTTGCATTGCACAGAAGGTTGTCAGAGCCATTGAGGATTTATTTTTCAACAGACACTTGTTTTTCTTTCTGTTGCACTTCAATGTGAATCTCTGCTGTTTAATTTGTTTTCTAAATATTCTGAGATCTGAAGCAGCAGAAAAGTTAAGCACTTGCCCAGGTACTAACAGTGCTATGGAGGAGACCCATTTTCTGTAATGAAGATAATCACGCTGACGGTATTGCTACTCTCAGCTACCAGATAGCTATTACTTATTTATTGATTCATCACCATTTATACGAGACATTATGACATGAGGAGCAAACAAGCAAAAAAAGGTCCCTGGCCACAATCTTAACCTGGCTCATTTCCTTTCGCCACTCCCAGAATATGATTGCACCCAAGTGGAGGAGGGAATGAGAGAGGGGGGGCTAAAAGGATGTCAAACATTGCAAAGGTAGACTAATAAAGGCAGATGGGATTTGCAAGACAATATTTTAGTGTTACAGCCTTTTTTGAGTCTTGAATATGCTCCTCATCTGCCTTTCAGTTTCTTCTAGAAAATACCTTCTGTGCTTCTGCCGACTCCAGGGATGTACAAAGCTTTTGGTCCCACCTTTTCCTTCTCAGTGCTCCCTAACTTTAGCTCCATTCTTGATGACACTCAACCCCTGTAACTGCCATTATAGAGGAGTTGTGACCACCATTGTTTTCTTCTCAAAGTGAATAGTTAGAAGTTTGTGTGCATACTGGGGTTTTTTTCCCCAATAGGGATATGTGCCCCGAAAGGTTGTTGGTCACGTCTAGGGCAATGAATGTGTTAACAGCCGTGTTGAAAATGGCTTTGCAGCATTTCAGCTGGGGTACCAGACTCTGAAATCGACAAGACACCATCCGTAAAGTTTTCCATGTGTAGGCTTGAAATAAAATGCAATTAAGCCTTTATGTGCCGAACAAGGATCCATTGATGACTACAGCTGGTCTTTGTTTTCTTCTGTCACAGAGTGTGGGAGGTAAAAAGTGCTCCTCTTCATGTTTATTAATGCAGGATTCCTGAGACAAATGGCAAGCACAGTTTAACATTTGTTGGGGCACGGAGGGGCTTGCCAAAACAGTTGTGTAAGAGGATTTCAAGGTCTTTGGATTGCTGCTGCTCTCCGGGTTAAATAAATGGACTCTTCAAGAGGGGAGCCGAGCAGGAAAGGAGGGAGAGAGGAGCAGCAGAAATGCCGAACTGGAGGAGTTCGGTAGGAGAAGAGAAGTCTTGGCTGTGAGTTGAGGGGATGCAATTGGTCCAGGAGAGACATGGCTGTGGCCTTTTTTTTTTTTTTTTGGAAGGCACAATGATTGTGGAGGAAGTGCACCTCTACTTCCTCTGGGGTAGAGCACCTGCTTTGCTTACAAGCAAGAGGTTCCAAGTTGAACCCTTGGCCTCTCCAGTTAGGAGGACTGAGCAGACCTCTCTCTTTGCCTAAGCCCCTGCTAATCAGAGCAGATAGCCCAAGACATAGACGGGACAGTTGGACCTAGTGGGCCTTAAAGAAGACTTCCATCACTATGTGCTCCTGTGCATTCAGATTGCGATGGCTGTTGGTTGCCGCACTGATGTCCCCGTGTGAGAGCCCTGATGCCTTCTCCATTGGCATTCTGCCTGAATTCTGAAATCTGTCGTCCAAGATATGCTAGCCTTGCTTCAGAGCTGAAGGGTTGATACGAAGTCATTGGAAGGCTGAGGAGCACCTTGTCCAGGAGGCAGTGAAGAACATCAATTCCAAATGGTGGGAAAGTGTGGCCAAGAAGCCTGGCTATCCTTCCTGTCCAGAGTAGACAGCTTGTTTGTGTGTTGTGTGCCTTTAATTTACTTTCTGCAAGAGAAGTACAGAGGACACTATTTATTTCAGCCATCCTCCGGAAGGAGCTGTTCAAAATCAGGTTCCATAGGTCAGGGGTGGAGAGGAGGTTGTTAAATCATGGTCCCTTGGTGGTGGGCCACTGCCCAGTCCCTGGAGGGCTGCCCAGTAGTGTTTCATAGTTGGGATACTTCTGAAGAAAGGACACACACTCAGAATCACTTAATGCAGATTAGTTATGCTTTAATGTTTGGAAATTCTGACACTGCCTATTTGCCTTGCAAATGTAAAGCATATTGGCAGACCGGAGGGATAAACACGGAAACCACCATGAGAGACTGAAGGCAGCTCCATCCTCCCTCCCGACCCTTGAAGCCAGCGTCTGTTCATGCATGGGTGCTTTGGGCTGCCCTCCACTTTTTCCCCTCTTGCCTGCAGGATATCTCTTGCCTTGCGGACCAGAGGGATCAAGGGGAGTTTTGCGGTGAAGTTCAGCGCAAGAAAAATGAACTAGAGTTGCAGGAGTGCAAACAACTGCTGACTCCTAGCAGGATAGGGAATTGTTTTGACTTTATCGCTCCGGGGAATTGGTTTTGTTTAAGGCAGTTGAGAACATGCCAGGTGGGGAGTGAGTGTGGCTAGTCAATCACAGCAGCACAGATGCAGACAGTTCCTGTTTTTAATCCTCTGCTCCCATTTTTAATGAACAGTAAATTCAGACATGGAGGGTGCATAATCGACCAAAGGCCAGGGGGGCAGTCTGGTCTAGGACCCA